TCTCCTATGCACCTTCCTGATGATTCTAGAAGAGATTCGAGCCTCTCAGGATTAGGGACAACCTCAGAGAAYCAGGTCAATTCCCAATTAGGTGGTTCTCAAGGCCGTGGACAAATGACAGTGGGCACTGGCAGAGACGATCTCAGTTTGATATATTAGTTCAGTTTGTGTTGTCACTAAGGAAAAAAAAAATCCTGAAAGTGGATTATTGATAAAGAACAGGAATTTATTTGGCTCACAGTTCTGTAGGCTTCAAAGTCCAAGATCAGGAGGCCATRTCTGATCAGTTTCTAATGCTACTTTGTCTCAGGGCAAAGAAAGCCGGACAAGAGGCTGGTGCTAAGAGGAGTGTGTGAGTGTGAGTGTGTGGAGGGGGGCCGAGATGAGGCAGAGTGTGCTTTACAACCACACTTGGGAAGGAAATAATCCAGTCCTGGAGAAATCCATTCACAGGAGTGGGAACCTCRTTTCCTCACCTCTCAAAGACCCTGCCTCCTCTCACCATCACATTAAGAACCAAGATTCTGCATGAATTTTAGTGGRTACAAACCATATTGAAACCCACAGCAGGGAACCAGGCAGTTTAGCGCGTACCCAGGCCATCTGGTAAGTGGAGGCTGAGAGCAAGTAGCCAGCTCCAGGCTCGCTTCCTTTGTTGAAAACTACTTGGGTCCTGAAAGGTAGCCCAGAGGTATTGCAATCATCATGGCAAAGCAAGTTGGACCATAAGGGATCCCAGGCTTGCTGCAGAGTGCCAAGGTCAGTGAGCACGATGCTACTGTGGAAGAGCATCATTGACCAGGCCCCTGCCCAGGCCTGATTGTGCAGAGGAGCAGAGAAAGGGAAAGGTAAGAGTCCCTTAGTGGATGAATCAGGACTAGAATGGAAATCCCCAGAACGTAATAACCACCTCATTCCATTGCCCTCAGCCAAATACTCTTGCTCTAAAGAAAGCAAGCTGGCCATATCAAGAGACTTGGCTGGGGGCTGGGGATATGGCTCAGGCGGTAGCGCGCTTGCCTGGCATGCGTGCGGCCCGGGTTCGATCCTCAGCACCACATACCAACAAAGATGTTGTGTCCGCCGAGAACTAGAAAATAAATATTAAAAATTTTCTCTCTCTCTCTCTCTTTCCTCTCTCACTCTCTCTTAAAAAAAAAAAAAAAAAAAGAAACTTGGCTGAAGACAAGACCTTCCACACAGACACAGCTCTGAAAGTGTCCCCCTCAGCCTCCCTGCACATCACGTCTCCTCCCTCTGCCTCTCGGCCTCTTCTCTGGTCACTCCACTCACCCACTGAATTCCCCTGTCTTTGCTGATGGCTCAGATCTACCAATTATCATATGGCCGCCTGCCTAGTCTAATGGCCAACACTAACCCATACCTCACTGGGTCCTTGTCCTGCTTAAGAACAAAGAACACTGGGCCAGAAGGAGAAGACCAGAGGCCTTCCCCATCTGCACCAGCACCAAGCTCCAGGGCAAACTCAGCCTGGAACTTCCRCTCCTGAGTGTGAACTGAGGAAGCACTGGGCTAGGAAGACTGTATCTCTAGGTGCTCAGCCCAGATGGAAGTTTAGAATGCACTTTAAAAAAAAAAAAAAAAAAAAGACCAGGGAGGGAGATGATTGCCAAGAGTCGCACATTGTTTCATGACGAATCTGAACTGAAAACATTCTGTCTCTCACTCTGGTCTCCAGGCACCCACCACCGGCGGAGGCACCCAGGAGTAGTCAGCAAATGCTAATCGCTTGCATTACTTTCTTCCCCTTCTCTCTCTGTTCTTCCTTCCTTCCTTCCTTCCTCTCAGATAGATTAAAGTTGCAAACACTCAGTGCTGGGTTTCCAGGGATTCTGCCAGATATGGTTAGATTGGTGGATCTGTGACATTCTCCCTCATTTGTGTGTACAGATGCGCCCAGGGGACCTCTGAGACCTTCTTCTGTCCCTGTTTGTCTGCCATCCAAGGCAGTGTGGAAGGCTGACCTGGACAGATGAAATCCCGATCTTCTCCAAATCCTGACGATCACCCACAGACTTTTGGGAGGAGGGCAGAGAACCCAGCTCCTTGTCAGGCTGCAGACCCGGCAGTGTCACACAGGCAGCCTGGGTGTGCTCATGAGGAAGAATAGGGCAGGCAGAGAAAGAACGGAGGAAGTCGGAGGTGGCAGGAGAGTTCCCAGGCCTCTGTGTCCCCAGTCCTCTGCGTCCYAACTCTGTGAATATGGAATGTGTGCTGGGGTTTGCCAAAGACAAAAGGATAACATTTGCCTACAAATTCCGGGGACTGGAGCCACATAAAATCTCAGTGCTGGGCCAGTGAGAGCAGCAGTCATCTTGGCTTTCTCTCTGGGATGAATTTCCGGGGCTCTTTCCCCCCAGGAAGTGAGGAKCGGAGCAGGAAGGAGACAGCGAGTGGGAGTTCAGGGTGTGAAGCGCAGCCCGCCACCCACCCTGTGCGATCCCAGCCGAGGCCATGAGTGGGTCAGCCAGCCTCAGTGCCCAGGTCCACCCGGAATGAATTACTTCATCTTTCAAAATCCCCATTTCCTCACATCTTGATGGATATGAAGATACCCGCGTAGCTGGATTGTTCTCGAGATTAGAAATGCCTGACACRGGGCACAGAATCTCGCAGCTGCCCTGGTGATGATTACAGAGCAGAATGACCCTCGGTGCCAGTGGGCGACTTTGGACAGGACTTGGGCGGGTCATTCGGCATCAGGGCAGCAGATCCTTGAATCCTTTCCCTTGGCCTGAGCACCTCCACGTCTCAGTGTGCGCCTGACAGGAAGCACCCAGAACGCTCACCAGATGGGTGCTGTATAAATAGCATCTGGGCCACACTGTTGTCACTGCCCCAGCTTCCTTCCCAGAACGTGGCTGTGCCTGCTCCTCTGGGTGCTCCGGTCTCTCACTGTGGCCCTCTGTGGCCTCCGATCACCCTCAGACGTGTCCCCACTGAGAGGTCCGAGGCCTCCTTGAGCTGCCCGTGGCCCTGGCTGCTGCCACCCCAACAGTCAAAAGAGAGCAGCCCTGGGGTGGGCAGCAGGCCCAGCGGATCCCCGTCCACAGGCGCATCTCCATCTGGCCCAGCRTCTTCTGTCTGGGATGCGACCACCCACGACATTCTTTCTGCTCAGACAGTCGGGCTTGCCGTGACTCAGCTCCCTTTCTGCTGTGCAGGGCCCACTCTCCTCCAGGACTCGGGGCCTGTCTCCCGAGTGAGCAGGAAGTGTGGGCTGGGTGGCGCTCCCATCTGAGGCTCCGGAGTGCCAGCTCACATCCGAGATGTCAATGCGACTCTCTCCTGTCATTATTTTTAGCCTTATTAACTTTGCATCACTTCAGAGAGAGGAAGCCSGAGAGAGGCATGAAACAGGAGGTAGGGGTGGGGGGGTCAGACAGTTGGGCCTGACATTCTCACTGGGTCCCTAGTAACCATGTGACCTTGAACTTTGATCTTGACCTCTCTGACTCTCAGTTTCCTTATCTGTACCATGAGAAGAGCACGGGCTGCCCACCCAACCATGGAGACACGCTACTCCATTCCAAAAAGATGGTAATGGAAGTGAAAGAGCTTTGTCMCCTGCAAAACACCGCCTGGTCACCATAGCTTACTAACCCTGTGGGAACACATCTGGTTTATTGCATCTTTTCAGTTGTCACCTGCAAGTAGGGTGGAGCAGGGGTTGTGACAGGGGTGTGAAAGGCTAGGAGAGAGAAGGCTGAAGGTCTCAGAGTACAGGGAAAAGGTCTAGATTTCTTGCTCMTCYGAGTCCCTTCTTGCCCATCCCTCCTCCTTCACGCTGCCCGGTGCTCCTCTTGGGAAACGTCAAGAGGCTCTTCCCTGCCAGACTCTGAGGCCGGAGCTGGAGCTGCAATGACGTGAAACCTCCATGGTGCCGAGAATGCAAGAAGAGACAGAGAAGGAAAGGCCCSGAGTCCTGTGTGCGAGGCCCAAGCAGAACAGGCAGAGACGCAGGAAGCTCCGGGAGGAGGAGCAGATCCGCTTCACCTGGGGCATCCCGGGAAAGCCTCTGGGACAGCACTCTCCCCTCCGCCTTAGAGATGAGGATGAGGACACGGAGACTGACTCAGGTGAAGACTCCAGCTGGGCTGCCTGCACTGGACCCAGCTGAGTGCGAGTCAGAAGACCATTCTCTTCCCAGGCCCCCATCTTGAGCAAACTCAGCTGCGCTGGGGAAAGGATGATGCTATTTAAAAACAAAACAATAAAATAAAAACCAAAACAATAAAATAAAAACCCAAACAATAACTGGACTATTTCCTGCATTAGGAGCCAGGAGATAAGAATCCTCTTTATAATCCTCAAAGACCTGTGATCTTGACACCTCCTCCCTAGGCTAATCTAAACCTTCGGCTTAGATTTAGACTGTGGCTTTTCTGATGTCGCTGAGCTCTTTCTATTTCTACACATTCCAAAGTCCCCATCAGGTCAGTACCGACTGGACGCAGTGCGGATTCTTAAGCCTCTTCTGGCTCCTACCCACCCCCTCCATTCTACCTCACTCTCTCCCAACTTTCCCCCCATGAAACTTGATCTCTGTTCTCACCACCCTGAGGTGCCAACAATTGCAGGTATGACCAGTGAGGAGAACAAAGTCAGAAGCTCTGGATTCAGCTCCCAACTCAGCCAGTAACAGCCTGTCAACTTGAGCGGGGTTTCGGAGGTCTGTGAACCTCCTTCTTTGTCTCTAAAATGAGAACATTAGCGTTGACCCCGTAGGCGTGCTGCGAGACTCAAGTGATGTGATTTATTACAGCTTTATTAGAGCTTAGAGAAGTGCAATGTATCCAGTCCTGACCAGCACAAAGAACAGTCTGCAGATTCGATTCTAATCTGGGGGAATCCAGGTTATTTTAAAGGGCTGCCGCCTGACAGGCCTTTCATTCTGTCGTCCTCAAACCGTCTCTTGGGAAATAATCATCTTGCAGGACGATGACCCTTGCCCTTAGGCTCTGAAAGTGCAAATCAATCTAGTTACCAATCTGTCTGCTTGTGATCAATGCCTTACTTTTTCTTCTCCTTGTTCTTTTTCCTGAAAAAAAAAATAAATAAAATGTGTTTCTCTTTTCTAAGGGAGGTTTCTTCCTGATATTAGCTGTTTAGAGCCCAAAAATCTAGCACTTGGAAAGAGGTTCTGTAAATACATGCTGAGAAGTTTGGGCCCTGTGTCAAGAGTGATCACCTCCAGCACAGTCTAGACTGAGCCGGGCTCTGAGGGGAGGAGGTGGAGCACAGCCTGAGTCACAGGCTTGGAGCAAGCAGCCTGCTGGCTGTGAGGGGCACCTCCGGCTGGCGGGCCAGGCACAGGATGACTTTACCAAGGCAAGTGGCCACCTCCCTCTCTCCAGCCTTTCATTCATATGACACCAGCTTTGATATCTTGTGTAGTTCCCCCCCAAGATGGAGATGAAGAAAACAAGGTGTTCCTTACCAGATGCTTCATTTCACTTGCTAAGACTTTATGGTATCTCGGCTTAAATGGGTCCTTGGGAAAGAGGGGACACGCCATGCCACCTCCCTGTCTGAAGCAGAGTTGGATACCTAGCAGAGCTCACTGCATCTCCCACCTCCGTTGTGTGTCCGGGGGAAAGGTCTATCATTTCTTATCAGCCCACAGGTAGTAGGAGGCGGAAAAGGCGTAGGTTAATGACAGTGTCTCCCACCAGGAAAGAGACCAGCCTTCTCAGAGATTGGCTTCCCAGCCGTAGAAAGTACATCACAATGTTCCATTGAATCAAATCCAAGATATCATTATTTTATGCAGCACTAAGAAAGAAAACACAGCACTGTCAATTAGGCTGACACTCTTGACAATAAAATGCATCCTGAAGTCAGAGACGTTGCAGCGTTAAAAAGAAAAAGGTGTCTTAGAAAAATGGAACATGGCACCTAGCTCAGAGGGTTCCTGTGAAGATTAATTAASTTCATGCATCTGAAAGTGTTTTGAAAACTGTGGAGTGCTGGAGATACACTGTTACTTTAATAGAGGCAGCAAATTGCCTGGGAAAAGCTGAGGCTCCCAGGTCAGCCACCCACAGTTCAAATGCCAGCAATGTCCCTTCCTCGGGGCTGCATTATCTTAAACCGTTTCATTAACCCCGTGGAGTTCAGTGGTCTACTCTGTGGACTAGAAATATTAGAGACTGTTCTCTCACGAGTGTAGGACCCCAGGTATGCACAGAAAGTACCTACCCTAAAAATTATTTACTTACCTGAAATTCAAATTTAACTGTGTGTCTTATATTTTTATTTGCTAAATATGACAACCCTATGTAAATCAAAGGGATCAATAAATGTCAGGCCTCGGGCAGTCTGAGTCAGAGGAATAAGAGCTGGGAATTTTTAAAGGGCAGCATGGATTAAGGTGAATTAATAAAGATCTGAGGCTCGGCATTCCCAGATGTGGGTTAGAGGCTACGAGGGCATCTCAGAGTCAGCAGAGACAAGACTGCCCTCCACTCAGGGAAGGCTGAGGGCTTGGATGGTAAGTCTAGAGCCAGGGGCGCACATCTGCGTTTGCCTGATTGTGTCTTAGAAAAAGCCAAGAGCAACAGTCTTCAAATAGAAAGAAAGAAAGAAAAAAAAAAAAAAGAAAGAAAGAAAGAAAGAAAGAAAGAAAGAAAGAAAGAAAGAAAGAAAGAAAGAAAGAAAGAAAGAAAGGATAGATGACTAAGTGAGTAATAGCAGCAGGAGGAGAGCTCAAGAGTTGCACTGGGTAAGAACATGTTCCAGTGTTTTTCAATAAGTGAAGGCAAAGCTGTAAATTATTCATTTGTTATTTTTGTATGGGTTTCAAATCTGTGATTTTTTTTCCTGTTTTGTCTTCAGTTTTTGTGTCCACAAAAAATGTTCCTCCCCCATCGTAAGTAACTTCTTTTTCACAAATGGCCTCTCCAAACCACACCAGAACTGCAAACATAAAGTTCATTTCTCCCTCTCTGGTCCCACTGGACAGACTCCTAGGTAGGGCTTGGGCTTAATACTACCACCTTGTTCTGAACAGAAGGCAGAGTTTGTGTGGCACTTGGTTTGTTTTGACTTTAGGCATTGCTAAATTCAGGTCTTTGATATTTGACCATGTTTCTGAGCTATTGAAATAGACTTGGAGGTTAGTCAGTAATAAATGAATGGCATTGGTGTTTTCTCAGAACACTCTCATACCTGTGAATTAGGTAGACTGGGGTTGTGGCTCCTGGTTTACCTGTGAGCTACTGAGTCCTGGGGCTACTGCCCAAACCCTTGCAATGGGTTGGTGAGAGCTGGACCCTGGCCCTGGGTCCCTCCCTTCTTATTAGCTGTCTTGGCACTTCAGAGCCACCATCTGGGGCTCCACTGACTCATCTAAGAAACACAATGAACACTGCCTACTTCTAGAGTTATTTGCAAAGGTCACATGAAATCCTATGTATGGAAGTGTATTGTAAACTGCAGAATAGTGTACTGAGCCACCCCGCCAGCCCTTTTTATTCTTTTATTTAGAGACAGGATTTCACTAAGTTACTTATGGCCTTGCTAAGTTGCTAAGGCTGGCTTTGAACTTGAGATCCTCATCAGCCTCCTGAGCTGCTGGGATTACAAGCATATGCCACCTAGYCCATCATCAAAACTTCCATATTTATCTAGCCTCGTGGAAGAACTGAGAGAAGAATCTCAGACTTTTGTTCCTTGTTTTCAACCGGTGCATCCTCRTGCTGGTGGAAGAGTCACTGTGAAACATTAAGCCTTGTACTTATGTAAGGCCCTCTGGCTGAAGCTGGGGAAAACCAGCCTTGACTCTGCGATGCTCTTATGAGGCAAGTCAGGAGGTGCAGGCTGATTTAACAATGACATGCCCTAGCGCAAGTCACACAGAGAAGCTCCGAGAATAAGAACTTCAAGAACACATTGAATCTTTCATTATTTTTTTTATATATTGAAGAATATGATTATTCACAAAGAGCAAACCATTAGAAGTGAGGGATCGTCAAAGTCTTCTCCAGTAAAATGCAAGATTTTTTTAAAAAGAAAACCAGAAAGAAGAATATTTTGGAAATAAAAGATTTTGTTATCAATTAAGACCAATTTTATATGAAAAAYGATATTGTCACTTAATCAAATAGGCATAGTTTCCTAGAATCTGTATTATTAAAATGTGATCTAGATATAGATATTTAGAGTAAAAATGTATCCAGTAATCTAAAACCAGGATTTGTATTTCATAGATTTTTTTTTTTTTGTACTGGGGATTGAACTCAGGGACACTCAACTACTGATTCACATCCCCAGACCTATTTTGTTTTTTATTTAGAGACAGGGTCTCACTGAGTTGCTAAGCACCTCACTGTTGCTGACGCTGCTTTGAACACATGATCCTCCTGCCTCAGCCTCCCAAGCCACGGGGATTACAGGCATGAGTTACCTCGCCCGGCTATTTCATAAATTTGTAAATGCAAAGTGCAAATAAGGAAGGAATGCCAGACACAGTGGTGCAGCCTGTAATCCCAGCAGCTCAGGAGGCTAAGGCAGGAGGATTGCAAGTTCAAATCCAGCCTCAACAACTTAGCAAGGTCCTAATGCAACTCAGTGAGACCCTTTCTCTAAGTAAAATATATTTTAAAAGGCCGGTGGGGAGCTGGGGATGTAGCTCACTGGTTCAGCACCTCTGCATTCAATTCCTGGTACCAAAATAAATAAATAAATAGGAGGAATTTTGACAAGACCACATAGCAAATAACTGCTAAGTCAGAAAGAGCATGCAGGGCTTCCAACTTTCAGGATACTCCTCCTGGGATCACAGTTTTGAACCAGGCTCTTTCGCCTCCTCCTAGAAAGGTCACTTGTTCTTGTGTTCTCTACCCAGACTACAAACATAAAGTTCATTAAGGGGATCACCTTGCACTTCTTACTTGCTGAATGGTAATGTAGCACTGAGGCATCTCGGTGGTAGGATGTCGAATTTTTCTAGAGGCTACTTCTTTGCAGTGACTTTCTCAATTAAGTGGAGCATATTGACTATGAGTTCTCGTGGTTCCTGTCCTCTCATGGAGCTGGGGAAGGGGACATTCTCTTGACGGGAAGGTGGTGCTCTGCTTGGTCCCTTGCTCCTCAGCATCAGCTCTCTCTAGAGTGTGGCCCTGTCACTTGGACAGCATCCTGAAAGAACCCTGGATGTATCGACCATCCACAAAGGGCAGATGAGAGAGCCAGGGAGGGCTGAGAGGCTGAGTGGGAAGACTCTCTGCTGGTTTTAAAAAGCACACGGACGTCTCATAGACAAAAATGTCTATGGCAAACTACACTCAGATCTGAGCATTAGAAAAGGGCTGCTGCTCCCTGGCAACTAGCTTCTAAGATTAGACAATGAAAAGTATGCTCTCCTTCTTCCCTCTGCCTCCCCGGGGAGCCAGAAACCCGAAGGCTAAGGTTTCCAGCTTCACATGGATGTCTTTCTCCAGCTAGGGCATCTAAGAATAGTGTGATGATGGCTTCATTTTTGTCTTTTACTTTGGAATCAGGGGTTCAATTTTTATCTTTCTTGCTTTATTTTGAGCTGCCTAGAATCATCTTTGTAATTAGTAGGTATKGGGGGGAAAAATCCACATTAAGTAGAAGAAGATCATAGGTGCTTGTCTTATTCCATTTTCTTTTGCTAATCATCCAGTACCATAGATTGGGTGAATTATAAAGAAAAGAGGTTTATTGGGGTGTACAATTCTGGTTCACGATCAAGGAGTTGTGACTGGCAATGACTTTCTTGGCAGAGTCCCAAGACAGTGCAGGACATCACATGTCAAGAGACAGGGAAGGCTCTAGAGACCAAGCCAAACTGKTTTTTGCAGCAGATTCACACTCAAAATAACCCACTCTCAAAATAATCCATTAATCACTTGAATGGATTAACCCATTCAAGAAAGCAGAGCCTTGATCACCTCTGGAAGGTCCCAAGTATTTCCATCATTTAATATCTCATAGTGGGGATTAAATTCCACATGAGTTTCAAAGAGGAAAAAGTATATTCAAGCCACAGCAGTTATCAGGGAATCACATCTTTAAAGAGAAGTAAAGAGTATAGTATAACCTTCTCCTCTTGTCTTTCCAGAAAATTATTCTGCTAATCTCTTTAATCTCCCCTTGTGCAGACTGCTAAAGTAATGAGTGGAACTCTTTCTAAACAGAAAAAAAAAAAAAAAAAAAACAACAACTTTCAATCATAGTGACCTGTTCCCATTTTAGGGGTTGACATCTGACCACTGGCTGACCAGGAAGAGTGTCCCTACATGCTTGGCTTCAGTGATTCATTCAGAGCTAAACAAGAGACCACGGAGAACCAACTGCTTTCTTCTCTTCTCCCCTGGGATTTCTGCATAGATATAAGCAGAAGAAAATCTTCTTTCTGCTAGAAGGTTGTATTCTGGGGCTGCCAATAGCTGCTCATCACTAATGAAGCCAAGTGAAGATAAGCAGAATGCAGAAAGAAGAGAGAGAAAAATCCAAGCGTTTTTGAAGCCAGAGGAAGAGAGCTGTATCAGAAGTTGAGCCYCCTGATCTAAGCCTAAGATCCAACGTATCCAAATATTTCCAATAGCTTTTATTATCTGTTGTCAAAGATAACATGAGTAGAGTTGTTGCCCTTACAACTTAAGATCTTCTGAATGATACAAAGACACAGTATGAAGCAACTTAATATGTTAGCCAACAAGATCTTGTCTTCAAATGAAATTTGAATTCCAGTATAGACGGAGATTGAAGGGGCAGGCGGGAGGAGAGTGTAACCTGGCTTGATCTCCGGTGCAGCCTCCAAGTAGACCAGAGACRTCTCTGGGGGACCTAGTGCTTCAAGTAACCACTTTAAAAACAGCCTGTGTGGCACAGACTGTAGGGCACCTCTAGTGCCTGTCCTGTTCTCCTCCTTCCTCCCAACACAGTGACTGTGCACAGATACCTTTTAGGTAGGAAGAACGGTGGGCTTGTTTCTATCTGGCTCCTTAACTAAATGTCCTTTATTTTAAAATAATCATTTCCAGTGGTGCTGAAGGTGAAACTGGAGCACACAATGGATGGCATCAGGCATGGCTCCCTCTAGCTCCCTGTCACTCTGAAGTTCTGCAGGTGGCTGTTGCATTGATAGATGCACACAAGACTTGGAATCAGGAGGCTGGTCCTCCAGGGTCAGCTCTGCAGGTCCCTCTCTTCTCAGGGTCTCCACTTCCCCACTGGCAAAATGAGCTGGGTGAGCCCTGAGATCCCTTCCAAGTCCCCCATTCCATGTCTTAGTATAGAGCAGGATATTGATGACTCATTCAGCAGGATAAACAAGTTCTCCCCATGTGCAGTCTGCTAAAGTAATGAGCGGAACTCTTTCTAAACAGAAAAAAATTTTCACACCAGACAGAGTCCAAAACCTCCGAGGGTTAAATAAGGGGAAGCATAATACTAAGCAGATGAATCCTCTAAAATAATATTGCAACACCTCCTGGCATCCCATCCCAGTTTCCATAGGCACTCTCCTGAGTAAGTTAGCTGCTACGCTGGGGACACCTGAGGTCACCTCTGGCCCCAGCCCGGCCTCACCCAGCCTAGCACACACTTTGCATTTTGGTGCAGAGAGGCCTGTTGGGTACAGGGAACATAGGACTTCCTTCCAAAGGCCTCCAAGGGCAGCTGTGGGCTCATCTGCAGCCAGTTTGTAGTCAGGCTTCCTTTTCTTCTCTTCTAAGCACATGTCTATCCCAGAGGTTCCTAGGATTCATAGGAAGCAAATTAAGATTTACTGAAACTGGACATCTAATAATAATAATAATAATAAAATAATATCAAACCATTATCACACCCCTTGTGTGTATTATCCCATGCAAACATCACAATTGACCTATGAAGTAGGCAACATCAAACCAAACAACATCCAACCCAACCAAAGAGAAGTTAAGTCACTTATTTAACATTATTYAGCTTCAACAGGTGGAACCATAATTCAGATGAAGAGCATCTTACACAGACACTCCTGTTTTAGGCCCCTGGGCAGCTATGGTCAAATGGATCATAGAAACAGCAAAATTTGATTTCTCACKGTTCTGGGGACTGGAAATCCAAGATCCAGGGGAAGCGGACTCCCTGTCCAGTGAGGGCTGGCTTCCCCAGAGACAACTCTTTTCTTGTTGTAACCTCACAGAGCTGAAGGGGGCCAAGATCTCTCTAGGGTCATGTTTATGGGCCGAAATCCCATTCACCTCCCGAGGGCTCACCTCCTTCTACCGGCTCTCGGGGAGTTAGGGTTTCAACATATGAATTTGGGAGGAGGAACATAAATAACCAGCCCTTTGCAGTTGTGATTATGTGAATGAGCCTGCTTTTCTCTGGTATATATGGGATAGTAATTGATGTCGTCATTGTTTTTTTCAAGGGTGAAACTATTTTCTTCAAATGGTACAATTCTGGCAAGGTARACTCTGTCTAGGTGAAAAGCAGGTCTGTTATGCCTGGCATTCAGAAGGACAATGGCCCTGGTGGACAAAGTTCTATTTAGCTACCTGAGATGGTGATTTGAGGGGGAATTCATACTAAGTGCCCCTCATTGATTCTGCCCAATCTGAGCTGTTCTACAACGCACCCTGCCTAAAGGTTGAGGCCCAGTATACAGCACACCCAGCAACCAGAGCCATGCGTAACCCCTTTGGGCAGAATGTTAATCGCAGGGAATTAATCAGGGCTCAAACCTAGAGAGGGCTTTCCATCAGAGCCCTCCCAGATAGTTCCCATGCTCATGGAACTTCTGCTTTGTTAGGCTTATACATCTCTGGCATGTTGAGTCCCTCAATTTGATGTTCAGAATATGCTCCTTAGGACTTYTAAAGAACTGTAAGATTTAATTGGGTAAACTCTGCATCTATATCTGTGACAAATTGAAYCTGAGAATGTTGTTTATCATTACATATCACATAGGCAAGCTCTCTGCTCTTGATAATCCCTGAGGGAACACAAATTCAGAGTTCAGTGATAGGAAGACATATTTTTCCTGACTAATGAATAATTTTTCATTTACTGAAACATGGTCTTTTCACAACAAGCTGTTTTAGCAGCTGCTGGGAGATTACCGCAGTCCTRTACCTGTGTGCGTCCACATACCTCCACCTAAAAATTCCCCGCTGGGTGTCACACACTCACCCCTCCTTCAGGACTCTGTGRCCAGTCTGTCCCAGGACCGTCCTTTATCTCCCCTTAGGCTGGATTAAGTCCCTGAAATGATTTGCATCTGGAATGTTCCACAAAAGCTCCTGTGTTGGAGACCTGGCCCCCAGGGCAGCGGTGTGCAGGTGGAGATTTGGTTCAGGAGGGCTTGACCTCGTCAGTGGTCAGTCCATGGAGGGTTTCACACTGGATGGCATTATTGGGAACTGGTGGAAACTACAGGTGGTAAGTGTAGTTGGAGGAAGTGGGTCCCTGGAGTGTGGCCCTTCCTCACTCTCTCTCTCTCCCCTCTCTCTCTCTCTGGTTTCTGGCTGCCATGAGCTGAGCCTTGCTCTCTTTCCCATGATGCTTTGACTCACCTTGCCCTCAGAGCAATGGGTCCACCTGACAYGAACTGGAAACTCAGAAGGAGCAGAGCCAGAATAAATCTTTCCTCTTCTTAAATTGTTATTCTTAGATACTTTTGTCACAGCAACAAAACCCTGACTAATCCAGTYCCCCCATTAACTCCTGGGCTTAACTAAATTCTAGCAAGCTCCTGGGGTGGTTGTCCAGCCTCTCAGCTTACTCATGAGGCCCTGACCTCCTGGTGTGCAGAAATTTTGTGTCCTGCACATGTGTATTTCCTGCACAGTGTGTCATACAGAAAAGTTTCTCAGGAATATTTGCTGTTCATCTCAAAGGAAGGAAGAAAGGAAGGGAGACAAAAGAAGGGAACAACAGTAGAAATGAAGATGGGTGGAGAAGAGACAGATTTATGTCCCCGCCTCAAGATCACCATTAGATTTTTAAGTGACATGCTTTCTTACTTTTCTCCCAGTGACCTTTGGATCTTGGGTTTCTATTTATTTTATTTTTGTCGTGCTGTGGATTGAACCCAGGGTTAACTGCTCTCTACCACTAAGCGACATCCTTAGTACTGGATTTCTATTCTTGAAGCTGTATATAATTACATTGTCAAGAAAGAAGTCAGGTAACGTAAGTTAATTCACAAATATGGATAATATTTCTGTGGAGCGACTCAGCCTTAATATTAAACATGACTGACCACTTTGCCAAGCCCAGGACTCACTATTCATGGGAGCTAATTGCTTGTGCCTCCACAGGAGAAGAGGGAACTCTTGTTGACAAGTGAGTCCCAGGGAAACTGAATCAACGGCCTTCATGGACAGGGACAGAAAAGCTGTGTCTTGCTGAGATACAACTTCTCCGCCTCTCTCCCTGGGAAAGGTATTTGCAAACCAGTGGGAATGTTGAGGCCTTTGAGATTGTCCCCGGGGACAAGACAGGGCCAGTTGTCTCTCAGGCACTCCTATGTCACAGTTCTCATCCACTGCTTCCACAAGGCCAGTTTTATCAGCAGCTTATTTTAGAAATCAGCAAGATTTTGTAAATGACAATTGGGCTCAGAGAGTCTAAGTGACAGCCAGGCTCACATATGGAGAAAACTGTGTTGGAATTTGAACCCTCTTTTTTCCCCATTTTAAAACACATGGTCTATGTGCATCATGCTGCCTTGATTCACCAAGGATTCCCAAAACCTCTGTGGGACCCAATACCACGGGTCATTGAGTCCCATGCTATGCTATGCTGATCCCGAGGGTTGGGACTCAGAGACATTTCCCACGGGGCAATGCCAGCATCTCATCTTGGGGAGATGACATGTGTGTAGCTTTAAAAAGCATGTTAAATAACAAAGACAGTTTATATTTGGAAAAGGAGAAATGTACAGTCTAAAAAAATTCAAACTACAGAACATAAAGTTTAACAAAACTCCCCTCATGGTGACAATAAGTTAAAAAATAAACTCTTGGGGAAGAGACTAGGAAATGTAAGCTAAATGGGTGAAGTTCAGAGATGGTCAAACTTATCCATAGGGACACTTGTCCAAAGGGAGGTTTAGTGACCTGGAGCTGTCCAGGCCATGACTCTAAGGACCGGTGGATGCAATAAATATCATATGAAGGCATCATAATCACATTGAGATGTCATCCACATTATTCAAAWTAATATCCTAGCAAAAAGGTATCTAGCTGCTTTTTGGTTTTATGAAGATGCAATAGTTGGTTAAACCTAGTGTTGGTTCTTTCCACAAATATTTGTTGATTGACAGCCATTGACTAGAGCCTACATGAAACTCCAGGGGCAAATGTTACATGCTCAAGAAACTCAGATGTTCCTCATTTCAGTCCCTTAACTGGTGAAAAGAGCTTAGACATTCAATGGGATCAAGGCTTATGCTTCAGTATGTGTCTACAGCTTTGTATCCACCCCAGCGGCCAGCTGGGTTGAATGTATTAAAAGCCACAGTCTCCTCTGTACTGACGAACGACTTGGGTAATTTCTAGAAAGGTTGCTTTCTCCAACTCACCAGTGGTTCCCTGTCTCCCTTCTGTGTGGCTCTTGTGCCTTCCTCCTCTTCCTGCGAGATTCCTACCAGACTCCTGAGCTCTGAGTTGGATGTGCTATGTGCTTTCCTGGTGTGACTCTAAGCATGCCTCTGGTTTGTCCTCATTCATTCAGTACACACTTGATGAAGACTGACTGTCCCAGGACCCACATGGATCACTGGGGGGACAGAGATGCCTGGCTCAGGCCTGACTCTGTGGAAGATGTGGACCCAGAGCTGTGGGAGGGATGATGACGTGAGAACAGTGTGATGTACCTGCCCTTCCCTGACCTTGTCCTCATCCGGACAAACACAGCCCAAACTGGGTAAGTCTTGGACTTCTTTGGCAAGTGGAGAATATTGAAAGACATGAATTACTTAGCAAGGTACATAGAAGACCTAAGTGACAGTTTTTTAGTTTGTAAGCATACTCTCTATTTAAAATTCTTTTTCAGCCAGGCAGCTTGGTGCATGCCTGTAATCCCAGTAGTTTGGAAGGCTGAGGCAGGAGGATAGCAAGTTCAAAACCAGCCTCAGAAATTTAGGGAGGTCCTACACAACTTATCAAGACTCTGTCTCTAAATAAAATATAAGAAGAGTGGGGATGTGGTTCAGTGGTTAAGCACCCCTGGGTTCATTCCTCAATACCAAAACAACAACAACAACAACAACAACAACAACAAAAAACAAAAAACAAAAACTGGCACCTGACCCAGGCTCTCTGTCTTCTCGGGAAAGGCTGATGGACAGAAGATAGCACAGGAGTGGCAGGATTGCAGGGCACAGCTCTTCTTCTCCCTGTTTCAACTTCCCAGGGCACCACGGGATAGGAGTCTTGCTGGCCAAAGAGACTGGACACCAGCACGACTACAGGAAGTGCCTGCGYCTCCTCCTCCTGCACCCCTTCCAGGCCTGTCCCCAGGAAGTTGTCCCCAGGCCACCCTGGTCTAGGACCCCAGCCACTGCAGAGGCAGCCAGGGTGGAGGGAGCTTCTGGAGCCTCTGGTTCCTGCCAGGCCCACAGACTTTGCTCTTCCCTCCGGGGGAGGAAGCGCTAGCCCAGGGATGCAACCCATTGTTGCTGCTTCCCATGGGCTGGGTTGTTCCAGGAAGGATGTGAACTTCCCTTTGAAATCGTAATTTATTTACTTTTTTAATGAGAAGTGACAGGACTTGGACTCCCACTGGATCTGGAAATGTCATGCCTTAAACTAGTGTCTCTTCATCTAACTCCTAAGCTCCCTGAGAATGCGAGTCCTCCCTCATGCCAATCTGTCAAAGGAGAGACTGGGTCACATTCAAACTGGGAAAACAAATCTTCAGGGTAGGATTTTCATTTCCCTCAATGTGGGACATATTCCACAGAATTGTTTAATCAGGGTGATGCCCCAGGGAAGCGCAGCTGGAATCCCTCCTCAAGACAGGGTGACTAGTTGGCAGCATCCAGAAGTTTGACTCTTTTGGGTTCATCTCAGCTCTTCTCAATGGGCCAGCCGGTGGCGAACTGAGATGATGGTACAGTGACCTACCCTGGCGTGGGCAATATCTGCTATGAAGCCCCTTGTTGGGTAGCCCAAGGCTGTGCCAGTTCTGCATTAAGCCACCCAACCTGGCTTCCTCTGGTTTCCTTTCTCAGGTATTTTTCCTCCAGTAGACCTCCTGCACGTGTGAGTCCAACTTTGCTTCTTCTTGGAGAAAAGCCAGTGATAGTAACACCAGAAGTAGGGTGGTCCAAGAAGGTAGTGGTGAAATGAGTAGAAGGGGTTGAGTCACTCATGGCTCAACTGGTGACGAGGGCCCCATGCCAAGTGCTATGCAAGACGTGGTTAGTCCCTAGAACAAAGGGTGCTCCAATTTCTAAAACTTCCACCAGTGGTAACTACAAGAGAATGTTCTGGTAAAGAGATATGCCCTGGACAACACGTGGATTCCAGAATTTGAAAAGTATGGGAGCACAATGCACGGAGCAATGAGATTGTGTTTCTACCCAGGTGATAATGAGACCTTGAGGGCAGTCGTAATTGAGAACTCAGAGTGAAGAACAGAGGGTCCCTTGAGTAGTTTACAAGAAAGTTCTTATCTAGTACAGTGACTGTGTTGGCCCTTTTGATATGCAGTTATAAAACTATTTTCAACTGGGCGACTTATAAAAAAACAGAAATTTAAATAAACGGAATGGCTGGGAAAATCTGTGTCCCTGATATATCTTGGTAGATTCTCCAAAATATTTTAGCTTTCCAGAGTCCCGAAGCCTTTGAGAGTGAAGATTTCAATATTTCTGGATTGATTATTGATACAAGTACACTGAATGTCAGCAAGCAGATAAATGCTATTTGCTCTGGCCTTATCTGTTCAAAATCATTCTGGAGGTCATAAGCCAATGCAACAGGAAAGAAAAAAGAAAGAAATTCAAGGCAGCCACATTGAAAAGAAGCAAAACTGTCCATTGATAACACGATCATCCATGTAGAAAACCATATGGAATCTTGCAAGATCCTAGACTGTGGAAGTTTAACAAGACGTCAGAGGACAAGATCAAATACAAAATTTAACAGTGTCACAAACGTATTCCCGTGCCAAGCTTATTCAAATGTATACGGTAAGCACGTGCAGTTTATTATGTCAATGGAACCTCAATAAGATTATTTTTTAAAGATYTTACAAAGAGACGAACAAAGGAGATACAGCTGCAGAACACTGGAGTGTTTCAATTTTTATAGCTATAAGAGCCAGATATACCAAGAACTCAGCTGAAGAGTGAGTGAGTGCACCTGAGCTTGCAGGAATGGAAGTTCCCATCCTCAAGCACTCCCTAGTGCCTGTAAAGTGGGACCTCGACTCCATGAACATTAAGGCATAAGAACAGCCCAGCAATATTCAGAAAACAGTAATAAAAGCTGCAGCCACATGACATCCTAGGAGAAGGTAGGAGGGAGAGGACAGGAGGTTTTGTGCCAGGAGCAGCTGGCGAGGTCAGGGGAAGAGAGTGCTTGCACCGAGACTGACCTGCTTCTGGGCCCTGGCAGTACCATGGCTGGGAGTCCACCATCTTCTGTTTCACCTGTCAGTATCACTCCCTGTGAATGACACTGACTGCCAAGGATGTGAGTTCTCCTCGAGGTGCTTTTCTTTGTGGGCCCTCCCTCCATCTCGACATCTCAGGGTGATCCTGGAGCCTGGTTTCTTAGATCAGGACCCCTGGTGGGATGGAACCCAGGTTTGATGCAATCTGCTCATTAGTGCAGCCCTGCACCTTAGGGCGGGTGCCTGAGGCAATGTCCTACTGCCACACACCTGCAGCAGTCCTAGTTCATCCTTGAATCCAACTTAAAATCATCCTTTTAGTACCTGAGACCTGTAGCCCTTCTGAGGCCATATGTCCTTGTAAAGGCGTTTGCAGACGACTTTACAGTTTATGCAGCATCATCACTTGCAAGAAATTCCTTACCTTCACAGTGACCCTTGGCTCCTAATTCACACTTGAGAAAATGGAGACTCAAGGGGTGAAGTGACACCCACGGTCACACCGAAAATAAGTGGCCCGATAGGGCACTGAACCCAGGTCTTCTCATTCCAACCCTGTTCTCTCTTCATTCCTCCCGCATGCTTCTCTCAGAGTTCATACGCTGAAACCCCTATTCCCATGGTGATGTTGAGGGTGGAAGCCAGGAGACAGGATCAGGCCAGGAAGGTGGAGCCCTCAGGAATGGATTGGTGCCCTTAGAGGAGACAAGAGAACTTTTTGCTCTCCCTTTCTCCTTCATTTGAGAGCTCAGCAAAATGACAGCTGTGTAAAAGCCAGGCTGTGGGCCTCCAACAGAGGCTGACTCCACCTGCACCCAATCCTGCCCTTCCTGGGCTCCAGAACTSAGGGAAAGATATTCTTTCAGCCCCCTGTCCATGGTGTTAGAGCAGCCCAAGCAGATGAAGGGGGTGCTCAACTTGAAGCACTTCGACTGTCTGAATGAAGAGGAAGGGAGAAGAGTCAGGTGTTTTAAGACTTCCATCCAAATCTGGCTGAATGGCACCCAAGTTCAGGGAGAGGTGAAAGACCCATTTAGCCTCAGTGATGGCTCAGTTCCTCTCTGTTCCCTCGCATCTGGAAGCTGAAGAAAACATTCTCGGAATGGGTGTGAGAAGGGAAAGGAGCGGCCCTGGCAACAGGTCCCATGTTTTAGTTCTTGGGTCTCCGCTGGGAGAGTCTGGGTGGGACGGCCTTGGGGACTGGGAGCCTGGTGTCCAGGAGAGGGTTTGCCATTCCTCAGCTGGATGGCCTCCCTCAGTTCACTCTGCTCTTTAAGGCTCCCCTAACCCATTTGTAAAACTGGCTTCTACCTTGAAAGACTGCTGCCTGCAGGAAACAGACGTTGGTTCCTCTTTGCCTCTCTCTCTGCTGGCCAGCTCTTTGTTTCAGGGTTTGGTGTTGTGCCGTATACCACCTATACCTGGGCATTTCCCTGCGCACGAGACCCACACCTGACAAGGGATGTTCTGAGCCCAGGGTGAGATTCAAACTGCAAAACGGAATTTCCCAGCCTTTCTTCACTGGTGGGACTTACATACCCGGAGGCAAAAAGTCACAGAGGGGTGGGGGTGGAGCTCAGCTGTTACCGTGTTTGCTTAGTATTTGCAAGGCCTTGGGTTTGATCCCTGGTACCCACAAAAAATTTTTTAAAAATCAAAGTCACAGATAATGAACACTTTAAGGCATTTACAGATAACTAGTAATTCATATTTATTGCAGGTTACTAGCTGATGCCATTATAGATTGGCCCCAAAGCTTGTCATGGAAGAGTTTGGGTTGGGTCATGGGCAAAGCCATGGTGGAGTGGACCTTGGATTCTGGTGGGAATAGTTGGGCTAATAAYAAGAATCCCTGGAGTTTATGGAGAGCTGTCCTCTCAGTCCCTACACCCTTCGATCTCCCCCTTCACACTCCATCCCCTACTCTCTGGAGGACGCTGGTCCTTTCTGGGCGATTTTCCTTCTCTGGATCTTCATTGCTTTATCCAAAGATGTTAGAGTTGGACGTGATCAATGTTTTTGAAACATTATCTGTTCAGCTGCTATAACAAATATTTTAGACTATAATTTATAAATGATAATAATTTWTTTCTCACAGCTCCAGAGGATGGGGAGTCCCAAAACAAGGTGCCAACAGACCCTGTGTCTGGTGGGGGCTCACAGTCTGCTTCAAGATGGCRCCTCTCGCTATGTCCCTGCATGGTGCCTCCGTTCAACTTCTTGATAAGAGCACCACTCTTGTTCTTGAGGGAGGACCTCTTGTGACTCAGTCACCTCCCATGAGGCCCCGCCTCATAAGACCATCATGTTGAGTATTTGATTGCATCATAGGGATTTGAGGGACATGAACTTTCAGGTCATAGGGCATGTGTGGAAGCAGAATCTCTATTTTCCTCCAGTAACTCTGCATTAGAATCACACGTCAAATTAATACAAGTGGGTCCATTTGTTTACAGCAGGGAAGGATCTCAGTGGGTTCCTTGAMGGCTCCTAACAAATTCTCAGTTCCAGTGTGACTCCCTGGCCATACAAACCCTTCCCTATTATCCCCTTGTCTGAAAATGTCACAGTCACTCTTCTATCCTGGCCTAGTACTAAGCCTACAACACACCTTAATTCAGTGGACCTACACTGGCCCTTAGTCCTCATAAAGGTTAAAGGGATTTGCTGAGTCACAGCCATCAGGAGAGCAGGGATTCAGAGCTCAGGCCTCTCACTCCCCTCTGCCCAGGCTGCTTTGCCCTGTACCAATCGACCGGCGGGAAGGGGGTGCAGTCTCTACTCCCAAAGGGATTAGAAAATAAAAGCTTTCTACTGGCTAATTCTGAGACATTTGTGGGGCAGGGGAGGGCTTGCCAAGTCTGGGTCCTCACCCAGGTGGAAGCTCGTGAYGTCCCGGCTTGGAGTGTGTGTGCCCCAGCCCCAGCACATGCACAGGTCTGACAGAACACAGCTCCAGAAGGTGTCCTCCTCGGGCAGCAGGCCCACTGCTGCTGAATCAGGCAGGGAAAGAGCAGCAGAACTGGGTCCGCCGACGTGTGCCCCAACAAATGCCACTGGTCGGCTTCCAGACGGCAAGGGCTGTTTTATGTGACRTGAGCTGAGAAACCTGGGGCTGGAAGGAGGCAGCTGTGCAGAGTCCCTGTGGCTGTGGCACCAACGACACATGAATGAACAGTTATTTCCGAAACACACCCCGTRTGCCAGGCCCTGGGTCACGTGCCAGCTGCTGGGATACAGAGGTGATGTTCCTCAATAAAAAAGCACTCCAGGGATTTAGAGGACTGGTCCAACAGGCTACCGAGCCTCTGCCTCAGCAGTGTCCTGGCTGGACTTTGATGAGCTCCACCCACAGGCTGGCATCAATGGCGCCAATGTGGGCCCAGCTCAGTACTTCACACACACACACACACACACACACACACACACACACACACACACGGTTCCCTCTGCACAGAGGACAGCTGCTGTTTCTCTTACCTCATTACCTAGATTCTTTTCGGTCAGAAACTACACTTTCCAGGATAGCTCTGGACAGACCTAGACAGGTGGGGTGCCTATCATGCAAGGCAAGCTTCTGCGAGTCCTGGGTTGACCCCTCCCTCCTTCCCAGTTACTGCTTCTGTCTGGCTCCCCACCTGCACTGAAATGGCAGATGCTTACCAGGTGTTCCAGGATGAAACTGGGCCTTTCTGTGCCACCGTTATTCCTGTAAAATGAGGTCCACCAGAAAGGCATCTCTGTAGTGTCTGTCCATCCCTGAGATGCTGTATGTCTCAGATAGGGAAGACACCAGGTGGTGGAGCTGAGGATCCCTCTTGGACATCTCCAATCCAGTGTGTCTAAGTGTTACTTCTCCTGGACAATCAACATGGAAACCCGGATGACCTGTGCTCTAGGTCAACCTGGTTACTCAGAGCTGTTTATTTTTTATTTCTTTTTTTAGGGGGTGCCAGGGATTGAATTCAGGGGTACATGACCACTGAGGCACATCCCAGCCTTATTTTGTATTTTATTTAGAGACAGGGTCTCACTGGGCTGCTTAGCGCCTCCCTGTTACTGAGGCTGGCTTTGAACATGCAATCCTCCTGCCTCAGCCTCCTGAGCTGCTAGGATTAGAGGCATGGCCACCACACCCAGCTTCAGAGCTGCTTTTAGACTCTCCGAGAACCTCTGTGCCCTAATGTCATCAAGTCAACAAGCTTGGGATGAAATGGACAGTGTACAGTCCTGGTTCTACCACCTCAAGGCTGTTTTACCCTGGACAGGTACGCACCTTCCTGGGCTTATTTCCAGATCTGTAATGGGAAGTAACTCATCCCTCGTGAGGCTGGTTAATTCACTGAGCTGTTACACCTACATGGCCAGCAGATGCCCCAAAAGGATCAAAGGCAGCTTTTACCCACAGTGACTGTGGTTCCCCTCCCTGCAGAGCGAACACCTTAGAGAACATACAAGCTCCAGGTTGGTGTTTGGTGCCATCAATCAGGGGGTTTCCAGAAAATCATCACTTCCCGAGCCTCAGGATTTTAGTTAAATACGCACAATTTTATTGATTGAAGAGATTAGGACAAAAACATTAAACCAAATACAGGACAAAGCACCAGAGGCCATCGATCCCCACCATGCACGTCGCCAATCCTTCTTCCTACAAGGTACTTAAAAAATAGGGGAGAGGGAAGAAAAAAGATCCTCTTGACACAGCACCATCTTCCGAATGTAAAAAAGCCTCTCCTCTCTATCCTCCATTATCAAAATAGAATCGAGGGCAAATCGATGGCCGCCTTGTCTCCTGATTGTGAACCGTGAAGCCGCCCTCCTGGGGACAGGGGCTCCTGCTGAGCAGGCAGAAAGCATCCAAGAGTCTGCACACACATGCCACATACTATCATGAAGCACAGATTCAAGTAACATTTACATACTAGAGTCCACATGTTACCTACCCAAAAACAGGACCATTTCACAAAACATATACAGGCCGTAAAATCCAAACAACTGAGGTACTGGGAACACAGATATTTATGCCAAAAGAGTTCTGTATCATACAGCAATAGAAAAGCCATAATAAAAAAACATTTTGCCACTCGAAATCAAATAAAGCTATCTAGAAAAGCCAAATGAAAGGTTATTTCAGGGACAGAGATACTCAAACAAGAAAAAAAAAAAAAAAGAAAAAAGAAATTACCAATGTTAACTACAGCATGTAACATGTCATCCCAAGTCGACCCGTAATTGAAGTACTGGCTTAATACATCACAATGTGACATTTTCCTTAATAAATAGAAGAGTTTTTGAAAATACAAAGGTGCGCATTGGGATAGAGGGATGTTTTATTTATATCATCCAAGCTTTCAGCTTATCATCCTTCCCGCTTTTTCCAAACCAGAGGGCCTTCCGAGCCAAAGGGATCATTCTTCGTAAAGAAAATTAAATAGCTGCCCTGTGTTTTATACATGGGGGACAACCTGTTTCATTCCACTAGTTTCCCATCAAGCAAAGACAAAATGTGTAGTTGAGATCAGAGAGTCRCACAACTGCCGGGTTCCAGGAGCTTCCCGCCCTCCTGGGCCCTGGCTGTCACTCAGCAAAGAGGGGGACCTGCCAGGCAAACCCTGCAAAGGACACAAACCAAACAGGAGTTGAACTTCTCTTTTCCTTTCTTCTCCCCCTTTCGGCTACCCTAGTGTCATRCGTCTGTCTGGAAGCTGGACTTCTAATAGCCTCCTGCCACAAACCAGTTGACACGAAACAGGAGAGCCCGTGAGGACACGTTTTTTCCCCTTCAGGGAGCAAAGCCTTAACATGTCATTTCCTAAGCAGGACATTGAAGAGTCTGTTTAGAAGAAATGAGTGGAGGAGAGTGATTAAGAGACACCAACTGGACTTCTGCTTTCCTTTAGTGTAGCACCCAGGTTTCAGGTCAGACTGTGTGCACCGAATTATTATTATTATTTTTTGAGCGAATCCCATTGATTATCACATAGGTGGTTGGCTTGTTTAGAAGAACAAAAAAGAAAAAAGAAGAAAAAAAAAAAAAACCTCCTCGGCCAATCGTTCCTTCCCTGAATCCTAACGAGAAGTTAAATGCTAACAGTACAATGCCAAGATGTGKGTTTGAGGCAGAGAGTTTTGATTCTATCAAGATCGGCAACTACTTTCTGAACAAAATGAAAAGTGGGGTTGGCTGGAAGCAGCCCAGTGGGCCAGGGGTGGTCTCCCAGGCCACACGGGGGGAGGAGCTGGGGGGCTCCCGTCCACCCGACCCCACCCCTGCCCGCCTCTCTGGCCCCGTGCTACAGGTTCAGCCAGCTCCTTGAAGCCTTCCTTCTCTGATCCAAGAAACAGGTGACAGTGAGGGTCCCTCATGCTGCCCAGCCAGGCCCCRCGTTCCCTGGAAGAACTCCTTTCTGGGGCCCTCTCGCTCCTGGTACCCGCTAAGTCTCTGGGGGACGTGAGCTCAGTTAAAGAAAGGGTCCAAGTTCTCTTCCATGTTGACGTCCGGCACCAGCTGGTCCGACGCCTCCTTAGCACCATAGCCCGAATTCGAGACACTAAAATCTGTAGAAAACCAAGGGTGGTCCAGGATCTCCTGCGAGGTCAGCCGCTCGGAGGGCTCCCTGCGCAGGATGCTGCGGATGAGGCACTTGGCCTTGGGCGACAGAGTCTCTGGAATGTTGAACTGGCCACGGCGGATCTTGCTGAAGAGGGAACTGGGCTCAATGTCATGGAAAGGGTAGCGGCCCACCAACATGGTGTACAGCATCACTCCCAAGCTCCACACGTCCGCGGCCTTGCCCGAGTAGCTGCCGCTGGTGTTCAGGATCTCGGGGCTGACGTAGGCCGGGCAGCCGTGCTTGTCGGACAGGGAGTCGTCGTCTCCCCGAAGGATGTAGGCATCTTCCAGACTTTCCAGCTTCACCCGAGTCCTGGAGGGAAGACAGGAAGACATGAGCTGCTGAGAGAGGAGGGAGGCACGGTGACCCAGCTCCCGGGCCTGTGTTCCCAAGGCCGCTCATTTGTGTCCATCCATTCATCCATCTGCTCCTCCTCCCCACCCATGACACTATTCCAGGGCTGGGGACACAGGGGCAGACAGGACCGGCAAGGTCATTTCTTGAAACTGATCATCTATTCGGGAATTCAAATCTTTAGCAACTAAGCAAACCATCCACGACATTACAATTACCCCTGACTTGGTGATGAGGGAACAAAAAGAATGATTTTCTCAAAATCATGAGAGGTCTCACAGGATTCGAACTCAGATTGAACCAATTGGGAAGTCCACGCAAGCTCTGCCTATGACTTTCTGAATGCAGGAAGGGAGAATGCAGGATGCAAAGTGCACATTCACCGTGCGGTTTGGCCTCACCAGTGTTTGCCGTCAGGTATGGATTTTAGTATTCCATTTCACAGATCAAAATAACAAGGCTCCCAGCCTTTTAGCTGGGAAATAAAGACTTCACTCTGTGCTCAGTTGACCCTGTTGCTCTTTCTGTTCTGCCAATAGCCTCTTTAGGATGGAAACAGAAACAGGGACAGTTTGAGCAGGACTGAGTACCATCACCTTGTCCCCTCCAAGGCTGGGTACCATCACCTTGTMCCCTCCAAGACTGGGTACCATCACCTTGTCCCCTCCAAGACTGGGTACCATCAACTTGTCCCCTCCAAGACTGGGTACCATCACCTTGTCCCTTCCAAGACTGGGTACCGTCACCTTGTCCCCTCCAAGGCTGGGTACCATCACCTTGTCCCCTCCAAGGCTGAGACCCTCCTATCAGTTCCATCTTATTCCCTGATTTCCTGCGGATGTGTCTCCTGTCCCACCTGCCAGTCTCCCAAGGTCTGGTTCTTGACCTGATACTTATAGTAGACAGGGGCTACCTACGTCTCCTGCCCGTGCCACACATCTGTGCTTCTGGGTGTGTGTAAGTTTGTGACAGTGGCAGCAAGACCCCGAGATCTTTCTCTCACCACTCACTCTGCCCCCAATCACCTCCTGCTGCTTAAGGATTGCAGGACTATCAACGGGGAATGTGGACTTGATGTGCTGGGAAAAGAGGTAGAGAAATTGCACCTTATACTGAAGCCCAGCAAGACTCACATCATCATTGAGTACAAAATAAGAAAGTCCTTCTGGTAAAAGCTTTTTTTTTTTTAAATATAATACTCTATAGTTGATCCATTCACATTTAATGCAATTATTGATAAAATTGGTATGTTGGATTTCTGTTGCTCTGATCTTTATTTTTTACTTCATTATTTTTAAAAAATTCATTTTAATTAGACATGTATGACAGCAGAATGCATTTTGATTCATTGTACACAGTTGCAGCACAACTTCTCATTTCTCTGGTTGTATACAATGCGGCGTCACACCGTATGTGCAGTCATACCTGTACCTAGGGTAATGACGTCCATCTCATTCCACCATCTTTCCTGTTCTCACACCCCCTTCCCTCCCTGGGGCAAAGACTTTCTTAAGTAAGCTGATATCTCACAAGTCATCATGCCTAACGTACTGTGGAGGAATCTGAGAACCAGGATGCAGAGAGACTTGTTTAGGCTACACTGAGAGCCACCCTCTGCCTGTGCCCTCCTGGCACAGCCTCCCACCTTACCCAGGAGCCTCCTTGGCACTCTCCTTTTCCTGCCTTGCAGTTATTTTGAGTGAAAGACCAAGTTTGGCTTGAGCAGAAACAGAGTCCCCCCCAACTCTCCTGGCCAGAGCATTGCCCTGCAGAGTTCCGGAAGTTCTCAGGTGCCTTAAACCTGGTTGCTCCCGTCCCATCAGCCCCACAAAGGCTTGCTGTGAAGGTGACAGTGACAAGCAGGACGGAGAGGGCACAACCAGGCCCACAGCATCGGGACCACTGATCCCTGCACCTGAAAGGCACATCTCCAAGCACCTACTCTCTCCCCAGCTGAGTCTAAGACCAGGTCACTCAAACTGACCAGGTCACTCAAACTGCATCTCTCAGGCTTAAAGACCAGCGCCAGAGAAGGCAATGCTTTAAAAAAGGTTTTAACGTGGCACAATATACATTACGTAAAATTTACCATCTTATCATTGTTAAGTGTACAGTTGGTTCGCTAGCAATGAAATAGATTCACATTGTCATGCAACCATCTGGACAAGGCAGCCGTAATGTCTCTGCCAGCTCTACCATTCTGGGATTCTGTGATACACAACAACATGTCTTTTCTTGATGTGCGCACCCGTATTCTATTATCATCTAGAGTAGACACGTGCTTCTCCTGCCCCTGCGGCTAATGCCCTATAAAAATAGGAGGGTCTATCTGTGCTAATCTGGAATTGAGCCGATTAAAAACAAATCTGTCTTCCTCTTGCTCCTCCTAATCTAAGGGGGCTGGGGAAGCTGACCCGCCAGCCTTGCCAGATGTTCAGAGATGCATGGAGATGGGTCAGTGCCACCAAGGACAGAGCGGTGGGGAGAGGCTAGGAGCAGGGACCCCAACCACAGGCCTGGGGGTTTCTCAATAGCATCTCCCAGCTGGCCTCACCCTTACAGCTCTTCCCTGGCTTAGCAGCAGAGAGGCTCTGGGAATAGTAAAAACAGAGACAAGAGGCCCTCCCACCTGTGTAACCAGGGCAGGTCAGTGGGAGGAATTGGAATCTGGGGCCCTGTTCCTGACAAAACACTCCAGGGGTGTGGAAGCCCTGCATCGTCTCACCCATAGGCAGATCAATTTCTTTGCCAAGGCTGTGGGATGACCCCCTGCATCCCCTTCAATGCACTCCCTCTGTTCATCCCAGTCTCCTTGATGCTCCTCAAAGGCCCCTACGGGGGCCTCTGCCTTGTCCTGCTGCTGGGGATGCCCCTCCCCAGCTGTGCTCAGGTCTGTCCTTGAAGGTCTACTCAAGTAAATGTGGCAGAGGCCTTGCTGCTGACCTAGGGGGACACTCCACCCTCCTTCCCTTAGAGGCTGGGGTGGTAGCATGCTGGGCTGCACCCCAATCCCCCCTCCCTGGGAAAGGCGGCACTCAGAGTGAATTACGGGGCTGGCATGCATACTCTATGTTATTGCGACTGCCATTTCTGGTGATCCTTCCTCCTCCCCTCAGGAGCTCCTGGATATGGGGATGAGGTCACTCTGGATGCAGAGCAGCACCACGCTGCTGCTGTACCTTGAGCACCTGGACACACCTGAGCAGTCATTCACCATGAGAACAAAGGCGCCGGTCCTGCACTGACCTTGCTCTTGGCTCTGCCCTGTAACCAACAGACCTCCCACATGAAGCCAAGCCAAACCTGTGGTCCTGTTCCTGCTTGTCCCCTTCCAGATCACCACTGTAGATTCTGACTTTCTCCTCCCGCCACCAGGAAGCAGTGCCCCGACACTGAAAGCCTCCTGACCCCCTGTCCCCAAGGCCTTCTCCATATCATAGACCAGGGCCTTAGAAAATGGTCAAGGTCTGTCTTATCCATGAACACCCCAGTGGAGTGGACCTCTTCAAGAATTCAAGAATTAACAAGACCGTTCCCCAAGCTGCCAAAGTCCAGCTGCTGTAAGCTGACCTCGGGGGCACTCCACCCCCCTTCCCTTAGAGGCTGGGGTGGTAGCACGCTGGGCTGGAGCTGCTTGTCTCATGTGGTCCAGCACAGATGCTGCAGAACAAGGCCGTCTAGAGAGCAAAGCACGTGCAGAAGTGGCACCAGTCAAGTTCTAGCCTTAAATGTTACTAAGTTCCAAGTGAGAAACATCATCTGCGGTCCAAACCCAGGGAGGCTCATGTCTATATATTTATATGCTCTCCTCAAGTACATGAGGTAAGCTTCCAAGGCGGGTATAGGCTTCCTTTTTGTGGATGACCAGCCCGATCCCTGGAGAGGCTGAGTGAGCTCCTAGGGTGGCAGGCAAGGCTGGGCAGGGCCAGGGGCTCCCCACTCTTACACTGGCCCCCCATCTGCCTACCCAGCAGACTCCGCAGATGACACCAGGGTTGCTGGGCAGAGAAAGTTCCAAGTGTGCAGCCCATGTTCCCTGGCCAGCTTTGGGGTCAGGAGCCTTTCCCACTTTCAGCCGACTGTCTGCACCCTGGACAGGGCAGGAAAGGGGGAAGAGTAGCCTGGAGAGAAGCTGGGGAGGAAACGCAGCTCTGGAGGGCGGGYGGGCGCCTTCCGACCTTGCCTCCTTCTCAGAACACCCTGACCTTGTTTACATCACTTGCAGGCCAGGGTTGACGCACTGGGTCTGGATTCTGTCTTTAAACATGGGCCTTCCAGTGGGGAGCAGAGGGAGGCCAGGCAGGCGCTGCTTCCCAGCTCCGGAGCCAGAGGACCCGCTGGGTGGCCGCAGGGATGCTGGCCTCACCGCCCCACAGGACAAACCATGTACAGAAAGGACCTTAGCTGGTGCAGCTACAAACCAGAGTAGAAATGAACGGACAGTCTTGAAACTTCTGATGTCCCCTAAACATCCCCCAGGGATGATCATTTTCCCAAGCAAATTAGTTGATTTTCATAAAAATCACCAGAAGCACCCGTGGACCTAGGAATTCAAATGTCCCACTAATCATTCAGGCTTTAAAGACGCTCCTCGAGCATTTACTCTGCTTGAGCTCCTCAAGTGGGCACTGGGGATGCACCTATGACTCATAAAATAACAGCCATCCTCTCAGTTTGTAAAGATTCCATGAAATAATGCAGGGCAAACTCCCCTGAGAGCCCAGCAGGGCAGATCTGTAAAAAACGGTGGTAACTCTATGGATCCTACTACTAAACGGAAGACCCCACCTTCAACCTCAGAGCCTGTGGGGAAGACGAGAATACAAATTGCAGGCCCCAGGCATGTGGAAGTGGATAGGAATGCTGTGACCACATCCCTTCCTGTGTGTTCCTGTCCTGGCTCCCGCCCCAGCCCGTGTGCCCTTCAGTCCTGAGTGAAGGAACTGGGACGTGCAGGG